TGAATTAAAGAGCTTTACACCTTTTTTTACGTGTTAAAAGTTTGGCCAGGATAAACTTTTGTGACTGGACACCTGATTATTGTGTATTTATCAGGAAATGTTACACAAAGCTGAAAATCCACCAACACACAAAACTAACAAGAGGACAAAATCAAAGAAAACTCCAGACGAGGAAACCAGAAAAAGACTGAAAATCGGGAGTAAACTCTCATTCTCAGACTCTTTTTTCTGGAAAATGCTGCTTTCTGCTTTTTGCATTTCCTCCAGTTTTAGTGATTTTACACATTTTTCCTCCAGCTGCAGGGTTTGTGTTTCCTCTGGTCTGTAATTTTTTGTCCCTGAGCTGAAATGAAGGCGAGTCTGTGCAGGTTCAGGCTCTTTTTGGAGGAGAGGAAAAGCAAACAAAGAGCAGAAAGAGCCCTTAAAGCTTCAGAGGCTCCATAAAAGTTTCATGAAGGAAACATGTTAGAGCAAAAACATGAAGCCGCCCAACAGGAAAACACCTCAGAGCCCTTTTATTATTGAATCCTTTTACCGTTGTAACCTAAAACTACTAACCCTGAGAAAGAGAAACACAAATAATGACTAAAATGATGTGAGTCAAAGACATTAACCTCCAGCAGAGGAATTGTGTTGTGGTTCTTCGTCAATAAAACAGAAAAAAATCATCAGAAAAAATTAATAAAACAAAAAACATATTTAAAAATAATAAAATAAACAAAATAGAGGACAAATAAACAGAAAAACAGAAAAGAACAATCAGAAAAAAATACTAAAACAAAAAACACATATAAAAATAATTGTTGTGTTTCTTCTTCTGCTTTTACAAACCCCAGTTTGTAAAAGCTCTGCAGCCCAAATTATGTTTTTTTTAACACTAAAACAGAATTATTATAGTTATAAATGCATTTTTTTATATTATGTTTAGCCAGAAAAGTGATACAAATAGTATAATACATATTTATTCTGATTAAGATGTCAGATTGTGTTTATTTCCTGAACAGAAAAGAGAGTTTTAGGGGGAGAAGCACAGTGATTTTCTGAAATTTGGGAAGAAAAAAACTGGAAAATTGGGTTTAAAATCCTGATTGGCTGTAAATAGTGAAACACTGACAGAAAACTAACAGAAAAAGAACAAAATAGAGCTACAAAAAGCAAGAAACCATTGCAAACGTGCACAAAAACACATAAAATGAATCAAATGTCAACATAATTATACCAGAAACACACAGAATTACATTCAAATACTAAAAATAACCTAAAATAAACGAATCAGAGATCAAACTTCTAGAGAAAGTTTTCATTTTTAAAAAGATTTTTTTCAAAGATCTCTGAAAACAGACTTTCATTTTGTTTATTTCGCTAAATAATTTTCTTTTTTAGTGTTTTTATATTTTTTTAAGTAGTTTTTTGTCTGTGTGATGATCCTGAAAATATTGATAAAGCCTTAAGAGTAAAATCCATGATGGAAAAGTAGTTTTTTCAAGCTCCACATTAGCTCCACATTAGCTCCACCCGGCTGGCACCTCCGGCTCCACGAAACAAACCCCCGGCTGGGACTGGAAACACGAGCGTGGCCTCACACTGACCTTCACAGCAGGCCTGGCCTCTGATTGGCCGGGCCGGGAGGCTGAGCTGTGACATCACTGATTGCTCAAGTTGTCGTTCATGTGTGAAAAGTGTGTGTCTGTGTGTGTGTGTGTGTGTGTGTGTGTGTCTGTGTGTTTTATTTGTTCCAGAAGAAACGAAGAAAGTCACATCTCTGAAAAGTGACTCAGTTCCCCCAACTGGAGTAAAAAAGCAACACAAAGACACACAAAACAACAAGATGAGACAGAACAACAAGAAGTGACACAAGAAATACAAAAAACAACAAAAATAGACCAAAAACAGACTAAACGACAACACAAAACAACAATTCGATCAACAAAAACAACAAGAAAAGACACAAACCTGCAAAAAAATGTAGAAAACAACAACAGACAAAATAATAAATGATGAGAAAACAACAAATACACAAAAAAGCAACAGTTATACACAACAGAAAACAGACAAAAAAAACAACAAAATAGAGACAAAAAATAGACAAATACAAACAACAAAAGTAAATAGAAACAATAGATATATACATAAAAATCTGACAAAAACAAATATCAAATAAAACAAACAGAAACAAGAAACAGATCAATATAAATAACAAATATACAAATAGGAAAACAACCAGATAAATGTAAACAACAGACATATACAAACAATAAAGTGATAAATAGAAACAACAAAAGGTGAAACTAACTAATTTAAGGACAAAATTGTCCCAAACTGTAACTGAAACCTGGTGATGTCACAGGTCAGGTGACCTTTAGTGTTACAGAAGCTAACGTTGTGTGTCTGTATGTGTTTTCAGGCTGATCCGCAGTACGCCAGCAGTGTAGCAGAAGCCCTGAAAAACCTGTAAGTGGGCTGGGCTATAACCGGGCTATAACTGGACTATAACCAGGCTATAACTGGGCAGTAACTGGATTATAACTGGACTATAACTGGACTACAACTGGACTATAACTAGACTACTACTGAACTATAACTAGACTTTAACTGGACTATAACTGGATTATAACTGGACTATAACAAGAATGTAACCGGACTCTAACTGGACAGTAACTGGAGTATAACTGGACTATAACTGGACTTTAACTAGAATATAACTGGATTATATGTGGACTATAACTGGACTGTAACCGGACTATTCCTGGACTATAAATGGGTTATAACTGGACAGTAACTGGACTATAACTGGACTATAACCGGACCGTAACTGGATTATAACTGGACTATAATGGGCTATAACCTGACTCTAATTGGACTATAACTGGAATATATCCGGACTGTAACTAGACTGTAACTGGACTATTCCTGGACTATAACTGGAATATATCCGGACTGCAACAGGGCTATAACTGGACAGTAACTGGACTTTAACTGGAATATAACTGGATTATAACTGAACTATAACTGGACTAGTCCTGGACTATAACCGGACTATACCCGGACTACTCCTGGGCTATACCCGGACTATTCCTGGACTATACCCGGGCTATAACGGACCTCTCTTTCCCCTCAGCTTCCCGGCAGAGATCCAGTCGGGGCTGCTGGAGGTGGTCTCTCCGTCTGTTCACTTCTACCCAGACTTCTCCCGCCTCAGGGAGTCATTCGGAGACCCAAAGGAGAGGGTCAGGTTAGTGGGTCAAAGACACACAAAAGAGACACACAACAACCACAAAGACACACAAAACGACCACAAAGAGACACAAAGAGACACTAAGCAACCACAAAGAGACACACAACAACCACAAAGAGACACGAGACACAAAACAACAACAAATAGACACAAAAGAACCACGAAGACACAGAAAGATACTCAACAAACACAAAGAGACACACAACAACCACAAAGAGACGCAAATAGACACAAAACGACCACAAAGAGACACAAAAGAACCACGAAGAGACACAAAGATACACAACA